GCTGCAAACGTGCGGATCATAAGTAGTGACAGTGCTCTGAGGGATACTAGTGACTTGGTTTTGATTTTTACTTTCTAAACCCAGCTCCCGATATTAAAGGATTGCATCATCAACGATATCCAATATAGTAAGAATTTGAAATGTCAATTTAAAAGGCATTAGTTTTGAACTGAGTCAACAAAACGAGTCGATTGAAGAAAAAAAATAATAAAGAAATGAATAAAAAGATAAATATATATAATATCAAAGAGGCAAGATTTTCTGTTACTCCGAGTTTTGTGGTACGCAGTCATCAGACAGTATTTATTAAATACTGAATACTATCTGATTATTATATATAGTATTAATTAAATACTGAATACTGTCTGATTATTATGTACAGTATTTATTAAATACTGTCTGATGAGTACGTAGCACGAAACTCGGAGTAACAGAAAATCTTGCCTCTTTAATATTATATATATAACTAGCTCTACACTATATGTGTATTGAGCACTCTTTAATGGGATCAGCAACTTCCTCATATGATTAAAAAATAAATAAAATAAAATAGAAAAATATTTTGAAAAAATCTCAAAAAGCTATCCTTCATATTTTACTAATGATTGAAATGTCCATCTAGTAACTGACAAGTATCTCCCAAAAGAGTGTTATTATTATAGTGAACTAACTCCCTTGAGAATAGTCAATTCTTTATTCATAATGTTAACTTTGCATTACCCTTTTTACATCAGCTGTGAATTCCCAATTGACTTATCATCATTTTAATCTAAGCCTTTCGAATGAGTTGTCCTAAAAGATAATGTTAACTCAAAAATCTATGTAATTTAAAAGAGCAACAATGCAAGTTAGGTATAGTACTTATGTGGTTTTCGTAACGTTATTTTTTCAAGATGTTCTTTTTTTTTTCAATTTGCTCTCCATCTGTTCAACAATGAATAAAATTAAATTATAGAAAGAAGAGATTTTAATAATTCATCCGGTTTTCTTTCGGTGTTTAAGGAGACTGAAAGGAGACATGGGTTTTTCTCATTGGTGGGATATAATAACTGATTTTAAGACTGCTGTCTGTGGTAAACATTTACTTCATTTTCAAGGTGAACCCGACAAGTCAAATCTTGTATGTCAAGCGGCGCAACCATAGTCCCTTTCGGTCGTGCAATCTCCCTTCGACAACGTTTCTTGAATTAGGTATATGTCACTTAAACGATTAAAACAAAACATTTAAACTGWTAAATAAGAAATGAATGAAATGTAATAATAAATACTGTGTTTAGTAAAGGTAAAAGAGCGTTTAATGGTATTTTATATTCTAAACATTTTAATTATGAAAACATCAGAAAAAAGATCATTGACAAGGTGGATTTCTATGCTGGCTCAAAGGCTTTTCTACAGCTCCGCTAGTAACTCAACTCGAAGCACCAGTCAAAATCTAGCTCTTGTTAAGAGTAAATGAATATAAAGGCGCACTGCTTTCTCAAGACTCTTGATTTCTTTCTTCCTAATTTCTACTCAATAGAACAATTTCACATACGCRTTACGCGTTTTTAACATGCAAATGAGTTTTTCCGAGTATTTGACATGAAAATTAGTTGTCACCTAGGCTGAGCTGAAACCTTGCTGAACAAGGCATTCAGATGGTGCCAGTTTGACTTTTACATGATTTTTTAAAAGGTTATGGTTGGGAAAGTGATTTTTTTTTCGAATTCTCATAAACCCTCCTCGTTTGATCTGTTTGCAGTGTTTGTATACTACATAAAAAGATACAGATGGTTGTAAAACATCATTATTTTACAATGACTGCTTCAAATTATATAGAAAAATCTAGCACGCATAAAATGCGCAAAAGTCAATTCTCACAACTATGGATCTACTAACTAATTTGCATGCTACAGTCAAAAGACATGAAGCGCGCCCCCTCAAAACACCATTAATCAATTCATTATTCGATTCTTGGTCGATTCAACATTACATTATTGAAATCAAAT